CCCCCCCCCCCCCCCCATCTATACTGTTATTGTGGATAGGGGAATCAAGCTTTTTCCTGTTCAGCCCGTGGTGGCAAAAGCTCTGTTTTCTTAGACAGCTTGCTGGAAATTTGTGTTATAACTAAAGGGTTGTATATTTAATAGATGTGTTCTGGAAAGTTGTATTTTTAAGAATAAGTTGTTTGTATTTTTCTTTCTCTGTTATGTTTTTACAGGCCACCAGAAATTAAACTTAAAAATGTGATGGGTTTGTCAAATGAAAATGTCACTTCTCTGACATCTAGTTTGAAGGAGCTGGCTACACAGCTGTGCGGAGAGGTAATACCATCTATATGGAGAGTAATGGCTGATCTTCTCCTGTCTCATTGGGTCAGATATCTAAATAATTTTTTATTGGAGGACATTAGAAAGTCTCCTTTTGCTTGTACAGTACAGACTTCTGTAAAAGGCCACCTGCTGTTTTTTTATTGTGGCACAGTGCTTGTTCTCCAGCAGTTTTCTCTGCCTGATTGTTCTGACTAATTTATATAGTTTGTATAAGAAAGTGAGGTTGTCTGCACTGTCTGGCTCCTGTACTACAAATACTACAGTATTACTGCCTGCACAGACCTCTAGATGCCCATTTCTGGAGCCCTGTTTCCTCGTATGGACTACGTGGACTGCAAGTTTTGACAATTTCTGATGGCGTTGGGGTCTGGCCACTATAATGATGGGCAATAATAAAAAACAGGAGGAGGGGTCTATGTTGAACACTTCTTGAGAGTGTCTGCCTTACCAGTTACAGCAGCCCAGAATTTAGGTCACTGAACCTGCAGAAAAATGGATGGTTAGTGCAAGTACTATATTTTATTGCCCTTTACTCAAACTTGCTTGTACAGTCCTATAACCAATGCTATTTTGTAAATACGGTACATAATTTTTCAAATATTTGGAATGCCTGCATCACTGCAATGCTAACTTGTGCTGTGTGTTTATAGATGGTGGTAGCCCCATGCTTAGTAAGACATGTCTTGCTGGTGTTAAAGAACCTTGTAATGGGAAAAATACAGGTTACATAGTTACATAGGTTGAAAAAAGACACAAGTCCTTCGAGTTCAACCTATAGAGATATGGAGGGGGAAAAAAAAACCAATAAAGCATGGCTCAATTTGCTCCAACAGGGGAAAAAATTCCTTCCTGACCCCATAAGGCAATCGGATTTTCCCTGGATCAACAATCTCTGATGCTTAAAGTGACATTAAAGGATAACAAATTTCCCCCCTCCCCCCAATGTTAGTGTAAGCACTTACCTTAAACGATGTCTCTTAATCCGATCCTATTCTTTCCTGTCCTTTTCAGCCTTCTCTCCAGCGCTACTGCGGGTCGCTGATCCAGCGCGGACCCCTCTGTGCTTGCTGGCACTTCCTGTCCCTTGGTGTCTGCATGCGGGTGCATGCGTCCATAGACTTACCTTGTGTCTCTCCTCGTCTCCCGGCCGAAAATCTGAACTGTGCATGCGTCCGACCCAAGATCCTTTGCTGCCGCCCGAGATTTTTCAGATTTTCGGACAGGAGCGCGCAGCAAAGACACAGGTAAGTTTATACCTCTTTTCAAGCGTGTTTTAAAAAAAAGTTTTTGTATATATCTACTGCTTGCTAGCAGTAGATATATGCAAAAAAACCGGAGGGTTTAAGAATTCAATATTCTGTGCATTTAAGAATACATCCAGATGTTTTTTTTTTTAAACCATTAACTGAGCTAGCTTAGAACTAGCTCCTGGGGGAGTCTATTCCACATTTTTACAGCTCTAACTGCGAAGAATCCTTTCCGTATGCAAAGGTTAAACCTCTTTTCCTCCAGACGCAAAGAGTGCCCCCTTGTCCTTTGCAGTGACCTTAAAGTGAATAATTTGGCACCATGCCCCCCTTAATCACCTCTTCTCCAGAAAGAACAAATTCAGGTCAGTTAATCTTTCCTCATAGCTGAGCTCCTCCATGCCTCTTATGAGTTTGGTCGCCCTTCGCTGCACTTTCTCCAGTTCCACAACATCCTTTTTGTGAACTGGTGCCCAAAACTGAACTGCATATTCCAGATGAGGTCTTACTAATGCTTTGTACAGGGGCATGATTATGTCTCTATCTCTGGATTCTATACCCCTCTTAATACAAGAAAGTATATTGCTTGCTTTAGAAACTGCTGCTTGACATTGCATGCTATTATTGAGTTTTCAACCTCATCTGGAGTACGCGGTCCAGTTCTGGTCACTAGTACTAAGAAAAGATGTCCTTGAGCTGGAAAAAGTCAAACGGAGGGCAACCAAACTAATTAGGGGTATGGAGGACCAGAGCTATGAGACGAGGCTAATAAATGTAAACATGTTCACATTGGAGGTGAGGAGATTAAGGGGGGGATATGATTTACATGTACAAGATGTTCAATGGTGAAAGCAACATCAGCGGCAAACTATTTAAAATTAACTCCATTACAAAAACTAGAGGCCACCACCTAAAATTGGTGAAAAAAAAATTCCAGCACAAGGGGCGAAGGGGGTTCTTCACAGTTAGAGCGGTAAGGGTGTGGAACTCACTGCCACGGGCATTGATTTCAGCTAGGAGTGGAATTGTTCAGGAAACTTTTGGACGATTTCCTAGGGGACCGTGGTATACAGGGGTACAGGTGGTCCTAAGAAAGATCTTATAGGTTGGACTTGATGGGACTAATGTCTTTGTTCAACCTCAAATACTATGTAACTATGTAACTACGGTCTACTAGAACACCCAGATCTTTCTCCATCATTGACTCCCCCAAACATCATGAAGCATGCGTGTTTTTAGTCCCCAAGTGTATAACTTTACATTTATCAACATTAAACCTCATTTGCCAAATAGATGCCCAATCACACAGTGCATTCAGATCTGCTTGTATATTGGAGACATCCTGTAGGGACTGTATTCCACTACATAACTTGGTGTCATCTGCAAACACAGAAATAGTACTTTTAATCCCTAATTCTATGTAATTTATAAATAGGTTAAACAGTAAGGGGCCCAACACTGAACCTTGGGGGACACCACTAACAACCTCAGACCATTCAGAGTAGCAATCATTGATCACCACTCTGAAAACGGTCTTTAACCCTTTCATGACTGAGGCCTTTTTTTAATTTTTTGCACCCATGTTATATTCCACATTTTAGGCCTGAAAATTACTTAAAACCCCCACACATTATATATTTTCTGAATGCCAAGACCCTATACAATATAGACCCTATACAATGGTGGTAGTTGCAAATTTTTATGTTGCGCAATATTAGCGCAACTCCTTATTCAACCCCAAAATTTAGTGATACATTTAATTAAAAGCCCCAAAACACAACAAAATACCAATTTTTTAAAATGAAATATAAAAGATGAGGTTACAACAAGTAAAATGATACCCAACATGCCCAGTTTACAAATTACGTGCGTCCGTGAAACGGCGAAAAACTGCAGTACCTAGGAGGGGCAACGGAGCCCGGGAAGCACGGCGGCCGTGTCCGGGGGGGGCGGCCCCTTCTTCGGGACACAGAAGCGATCTGGCGACAGGTAAGTCGCCAGAATCGCCTCTGTTGTAAAGCCGACAGTCGGCTCTACAAGTTTAAACAGAGTCCCGGCGGCAAAAGTCACCGGGAGTCTGTTTAAACAGCCCCGATGCTGGCGACGTACACTCACGTCACGAAGGGGTAAGCCAGTTTTCTATCCAATTACAGATTGAATACTCTATATCTACTGACCTTAACTTATACATTAGCCGCATGTGGGGAACTGTGTCTAACACTTTTGCAAAGTCCAATTACCGTATATACTCGAGTATAAGCCGAGTTTTTCAGCCCATTTTTTGTGCTGAAAAATGCCCCCCTCGGCTTATACTCGAGTCAGCGTCTCGAGCACAGAGTACTTTTCCCAGTTCTTTGTGGTAAAATTAGGTACCTCGGCTTATATTCGGGTCGGCTTATACTCGAGTATATACGGTATATTATATCTACAGCCATTCCTCTGTCCAATTTTATTACTCACTTCCTCATAAAAAGAAAGTAGGTTTGTTTGACAACTTCCGTCTTTTGTGAATCCCTGCTGACTATCGCTTATGATATTTTCAAGCAAAAACAAGTGCATGTGATACTTAATCAAACTTTCAAGTATCTTCCCAACTACTGAAGTTAAACTTATAGGTCTGTAATTACCTGGTAAAGACTTTGATCACTTTTTAAATATAGGCACAACATTGGCTTCATCCATCAGTATCAAGCCAGTCATTAGAGAGTCTCTAGAAATGAAATACAATGGCTTTGAAATCACGCAGCTCAATTCTTTGAGGACACATGGGTGTAAGCCATCTGGTCCAGGTGCTTTATTCACCTTAAATTTGTCTGTTTCTGGACCATATCAATAGTCAGCCATTGTGGTTCAGTAGAGGCTATGGTGCTGTTATCCCCATTATGGACTTTAATTACACCCTGTTCCTTGGTGTGCACAAATGAGTATTTGCTTCGCTCTGACTTCACTGGCTCCACGCTTGTTCCAGGTTCTGATACAGTATTAAAGCCAGAGGCAGTTAGCACTTTCAAACTGTGGTCAGCCATGGCAGCTTACATACGAGAGCTTCTTATGAGATTTTCTTAACTCCGGACTGCATGAAGCATTTTCTGTATCTTAGCAGTGACTTTTTTTTTTGTTGTGGACAGGTAATGATTTATCAGCTGGCAGACCACGTTCAATGTTTTCTAACAGAACAAAACAAGCCACCAACTAAATCATTTCATGAAGAGATGCTGAAGAACCTTCAGAGGCAGCAAGAGAAAATCGCATTGGAGGAACAGAGAAGGGTTCATGAGCTTAAGAGGAAAGAAGAGCAGACAGTAAGTTAGGAGCACACAGTTTATATATACTCTTTCCTTTCTAGACTTTTGTCATTATAGTGATTTCTAAAGTCATTTAAATATTTTCAATGTCACATATTTCCTATACTTAAAGAAAACCTGTTATTGGCTCATGCAGGACAATGTGTATAGTCCCGTGCAAGAAACTGATTATCTTTCTAATTTAAACTGAAATTTCATTTTTAATTGGACTGGCCATTTAAAGAAACCTGTGCTATGAGAAGTGCTATGTGCAGGCCACTATTTGTAATCTCTTTAGTCAATCCTCCGTTGCTTGGCTCACTTGCTGTGTGTTGTTGGATGCTAAGCCTAGGCTTTGACTTCTGTCCAAGTTGAGATTAAGCCCCATACTTTGAGGAGCTACTCCTCATAGTCCGTAATTCAGCTATCAAATACCAGGATTTAAGTGGGGCTTTAGAAATTGAATATTGATTGACAGGGTGAGGCTTAGTAAAATGAAAGTGTAGAATTAAAGTGGCACTAAACACAGGAGTTAAACCTTAAAAATACATTCAAGTATCTGAAACTATTTTTAAAAATGTAGCTTATTTGTGTATCACTCAGCTGTAGATCCTCAAATCATATCTGAATTCATGTTGACACTGTCCTTCCTTCTGGAGGGTGGCTACTTTTGTTCCCCATGATCCCTGTGTTCGCTCGCTCCTGTAATGGACTACAAACAAAATGTAAATTAGTGAACTAAATGTGAGATTGTAGTCCATCACGGGAGTGAACTTTGAGCAGTGGCTACTTTACAGCACACACAGAGACCATGGGGAACAAAAGTAGCCACCCTCTAGAAGGAAGGACAGTGTCAGCACCAATTCAGAGATGATTTGAAGTTCTACAGCTGAGTGATACACAAATAAGCCTAGACCTAGGATCCAAGAGGTTCCATAGGGTTACAGGGGTTACCGTATTTTGCGCTCCATAACACGCACCTGACCATAAGACGCGGGGTAGGGTTCTGTGTAGTTCCTGACAGCTGAGACAAGTGGCGCTGTGATTACAGCTCCACCTGTCTCAGTGATCACACAGCAGACGAAGAACGGACCTTCTTCGTCTTCTCTATGGTGAGCTCCTATGCCGTGGTCACGGATCTCCCAGAGGAGTGGGAGACCCGTGAAAGGATCTCCGGTACTCCTTTGATACAAGTGATCTAATCTGATCACTTGATGAAAACGAGCGGCGGCTCCACACTATACATTTTGCTCTGCTTGTCAGGAGCAGGGCTAAATGTACAAAAAAAAATACTCGCCGGTGCCCGAAACTGCATGTCCTGGGTGCCGGGCAATAGGGATTTTACACCCCTGGATACACTGTCAGCCATGCCGCCTCAGCTCTCACACATTCGCTCCATAGACGCATGTACATTTTTGCCCGCCTTTTTGGGGGGAAAAAGTGCGTCTTCTGGAGAGAAAAATACGGTAATTTGATAATTCGCATTGGTACCTTGCTTCACCACAAGGTTCTTGCAATTCAACACTACTACTTGGGTTTACTTGCATAGAGCACATGTAGGTTTTGTGACCAGTGAGCATAAGCCTTTGCCAAGGGAAGCAAGAACTTCAGCTGAAGCGTCCACTGTCTGTCCAACAAATAAGTGTGCATTTCAAATGTGTTTCCACACTGTTGTATGTCTGCCGTCCACCTACTGTACTTGGCTGCTGAAGCTGATTGCTGTCACTGCAAATGTACCCTCCAATTTATCTATGGACATTGAGCGGTCCTGGCCATACTTTGCATGTTTTGTTTATGGAGGTGGGAGGGGACAGCACTCTACTACCAGCGTATTCTTTGGAGAGGTGGAAAGGAGGCCAAAGCAGTTGGGCTCGGGAATCCAACCTGGCTATTCACTTCATCATCTCAGAATGTTAGGCTTGGAGATGTCTACCTGGGCTGGGGTGTGTTCTCTTATGTTTTTCATTCTATTTTAATTTTATCTACACGACATAGAAAATAAAGGGATCATTTTTTTCTAATACATTAATTTCTACTTTATTTGTTTGTCAGAGGAGAGAAATCCTTGATGAAATCCAAAGGAGGGAAGAGGAGAAAAAGGAAGAGAAACGGAGGCAAGAGATTGCCAAATTGGTAATATATTAATGAATATTTAACAGCCAGTGGAAGGACTAACATTTTCTGCTGCTTTTGTTAATTTATTGAGAACAAAAAATGTGTGTATGTATGTGTTAAATATAAGAATATTTCTCTTGCGTTCATTAATGGACACAGTGACAAAGATCGTAGATCTGGAACCATAGGGTATTGCGCCAACTGCAGGAGAAAGACGCAAGAATCAAAACAAAGACAAACGTTTTCTTGTCTAGCGTCAGCGGAGTAAGGAGCTCAGATATTTTCTCTGGAATAATTCCCTGTTTTTTTTCCATTTATTTGGTTGGGTCTTCAAGCAAGTGCTGTCTGGGTGACATGCTGGATGACTGTGGATCCTTGTAGTCCTACCCTGTACATCCAGCGAGCGCATGCAGACTCTGCTACGGTGAATCATCTGCGACTTCCATGGAGTGGCCTGTAGGATTCCTTCCCAGTGGGGTATATATGACTGGGGGTCTCGTTTGCCCAGTCACAGTACTCTACACAGGCAGGTGGCAGCCTGCGACAACCTGGTCGTTTGGTGACTACATGTGCATCTGTTCACCTGGCGTCGACTTCTCCACGGCTGCTGGTCCTGCCTTCGCCTCCCAGGGATGCCTCCAGCATGCACGCTCTTGGATTGTATGTATTGAACTACGGGTCTGACAGAGGTCAGTGCGGCAGGGACATCTGATGCTGTGGGCCTTTCTGGTGGTATATGCTTTGGGCCTTCGCATCCTGGCAGGCCCAGGGGGTCCCTGTGTGGGGGTCTGGGACATGTCACTTTTTTGGGAATGTTCCCCTTTAAGTGCTAAGATGTGCTGCTTCTCAGGCCCACCCAGCATGTGAGGCCTGAGAAGCCTGCCCTATGCCTGCAATGGTGGACTGTGGTGCTATTTTCTGTTGCACCGCAGTCGCATTGGTTGTTCAGTCGGCTGGCCATAAATGAGCACGCTGACGCTTTGGAAGTTCTGGGCAGAAGAAAGGTCCGAGCTGTGGCAGACTGTCGTACCTGGCCCAGTCACGCCTGATAGTTCGGGCGGCCCTGCTATGTGCAGCGGGTGGCCGAAAACCTGGTCCGTGGCTTGTGACCTACAGGGGCAAGCGCGGCTGCCATCTTTGATCTGAGTGGCCGCCCTTCCCTGGTCCTGAGCTTTTTGTCATGTGCGCTGAGGGGTGGGATGCTTCCTTGGCATGTGGAGGGTGGTCTCTCCTCCTGCGGTGTGGATCTGCTGCTGCCACAGGAAGGACACGTGGCTTCCCCTTGGGG